TGGAAAAAAAATCCTAATATGCAATTATGTTGTTTTAATGTTAATATAATGTCAACATCGGACGTTTCGGTCTAGTAGACCATCTTCAGGACATATTCATACAACATAATTAATATTAGACTATATTTAATTCAACATGAAAAGACGATGGACATAAGAGTAAGACTAATCAAAACAGAAATTCTTCAAGATCAGCGTTCCGTTTCAATATGATCACGTCGGCGCCACGTGGGCGATATTGTGAAAACGTATTCCTAAAATATAGTATTTTGAATGAAAAATGAAAAGAATTTTATTTTAATCTAAAACTTATATGTACGTTTGTCGAGCATTAAATATATTAGATAGATAGATAAATAGATAGATAGATAGATATGAAAGTGCAAGCCAAAGACCTTAACTAGAAACAGCTGGATTTTGATCTGAATTGTTTAGTTTATAATGTTCTGTCTACACTATTATTATTATTATTATTCACTACAGAATTAAGTGCATTGACAAAAAATGGAGTTGTGTTGAAAATATTTGTATAAAATAAAATTATTATTATTATTATTATTATTATTATTATTTTATATTTCCTACTTTGTATCCTGTAGAGCCGGGTCCAAACTATGGTCCTTAGGCCCTATAAGAGAATTGTCATTTAATTGATAGCACTTTTCTTAACATATGGAATGTTCCTAGTCGGGCGATCTTCTCGGCAAATTGTATGTTATGGTTACTTGTGACACTCTTAGTAAAATTGTCCATTCCTTTTCTCACGAGACTCAGTGCTCCGGTTACTATTGGTACAGTCTCAGGCTTCATTCTCCACATCCTGTTAATCTCGATCTCCAGGTCCTTGTATTTGGACAATATCTCGATAATTTTCATGGAGGTTTTTCTCTCAGATGGTACTGCTATGTCAATAAACATACACTTCCTGAATTTCTTGTCTTTTATGATAATATCAGGTCTGTTTGCTTTTATTTCCCTGCCATTTTGAATTGGCATGTCCCAGAGGATAGTTACATCGTTATTTTTGGTAAGTGTTTCCGGTTGGTGGTCATACCATCTCTCAGTGGTTTCGATTTTCTGCTTCTTGCATATCATCCCGTGAACATATGTCACTACCTTGTTATGTCTAGAGGTATATTCATTTTATCTAGTTCTGGACATGCTGAGATAATATGGTCGACAGCTTCCACAGATCCTGCATTTCGGGTTAGTTCCATCCTTGACTATGTGACAGTGTTAGGGGCCGGATGCGAGGCTTTCATCCCGGTGCTCCTAAGCCACTGATGTGTTTTCTGTTGGTTCACATCTGCTTCTTTCGTTCTTTTTACATATTTGCCATGGAACGCCTTGACCTCGCAATTTGTTTTATTATTATTATTATTATTATTATTATTATTATTATTATTATTATTATTGTTGTTGTTGTTGTTGTTGTTGTTGTTGTCTTATTTCCTTTGGTTTCTGGTGTTTCCGGGTCCCAACAAGAAACCTAAGATCAAAAATCGCACATATTTTACATCGATAAAACCATTCGTAATGTGTGGGCTGTACTTGTGAGTACAATTTTTTTTTTGTATTTCTTCAAGGCATGGGCTTCCAGGGATTCATTCACTGAGTCTATTGGAATCTTTTCCAATCGATCCGATGTCTCCAGTTAGAACTAGAATTGTTAATGTCCCCTTGTGCCACATTTCTGAGATTTCGATTTTAAGGTCCTTGTATTTTGATAGTTTTTTGAAGATCTTCAAAAATTAATTGCAGTCTGCAGGGACTGCCATGTCAATAAGGAGACACATTTTGTCTTTGCGATTTCTAATCACGATGTCAGGGAGATTAGCTTTGATTGTTCTCTCGATGTGTACTGTAAAGTCCTATAAAATTTCTACAGTTCCTATCTCTATAACCGGTCTGGGTGGTGTTCATACCAATTTCTTGCGGGTTCCTCTTCATACCAAATGTTTTCTTCTTCTTCTTCTTCTTCTTCTTCTTCTTATTATTATTATTATTATTATTATTTCTTTTGATATCTGGCGTTTACACATTTCTTTGCGGGTCCCGCCCAGGGACCTAAGATTAGAAATGGCATCATGACACTTTCCACTGACAAAAAAAATTACATAGCTAAAGCCCTTCGTAAAGTGTGGGCTGTACTTGTGACCACAATCTTTTGTATTTCTTTGAGGCATGAACTTCCAGGAATCCCTTCAATTAGTCTACTGGAGTCTTTTCCAAACAATCCTATGGCTCCAACTACAACAGGGATTATTGATGTTCCCATATGCCACATTTTCGAGATTTCTATTTCAAGGTCCTTGTATTTTGACAGCTTTTTGAATATCTTCAAAGATACATTGCAATCAGCAGGGACTGCCATATCAATAAGGAGGCACTTTTTTGTTTGTGGTCTTTAATAACAGTGTCTGGGTGGTTGGCTTTGATTGTTCTGTCAGTGTGTATTGTGTATTCCCATTGAATTGTAACAGGTCCTATCTCCGTAACCGGGTCTGGGTGGTGTTCATACCAGTTTTTTTTTTTTTTTACAGTTTCCTTCCCGTAAAAGTTCCAGATTTTCCAGTGCAAATATTGGCCCACTCTGTCATGCCGGGTCTTATATTTAGTGGGTGCCAATATCGTGCAACCTGATACAAGATGATCGTTTCTGGATCACAGAATCTGCATTTTGGGCTAACATAGTATTTTAGTCTATGTGCTTGATAATTCCTAGTTAACAAGCATTGGTCCTGCGCAGCAAGGATAAAACCTTCAGTACAGAATTATTGGCGTAGCTATCGGATTTTACTTAGAAAAATCAAGTTTGAAACTGCCCTTGGATCAGTAATAAATGTCTACTGTTACGAATTGGGAGAATTGGCATCGCTAGTACGCATTTATATAAGAACAACTTCAGATTTTACATCTAAATAAATAAAAGGCAAATTCTATCTCTCCGTCCGTATGTCTGAAACCTCCTCTAACTCGGGCAACACCTATATAACGTTTTGGATGATCCCAGTATTAACTGCCCTTCATCTGGTGCTTGAACATCCAGCATTGGGGTTGCTGCCCGGATGAGGAGGGAAAAGTTAAAAATTCAAATTTTAAAATAACTTTAAAAAAATAGTGATTTTAGAAGTTTTTAATTTATATTGAGTTTATAGTAACACAAAAAACTTTGTGAATTTATTCTTTTTTGCTTTAGATTCAACTTAAAATATCTCCAAAAACTTTATAAATTGAGGAAATGAATTTTATTTATTCAAAATGCCAAGAAATCAGAGTTAAAATGAGAGATTTCGTGACGTGAGGTTTTGAAGTTCCGCACAGTTTGTGATGATTTGAAGAACTCAACTCAAGTGAGAGTTGAAGAACTCAGTTTTCGACCTGAATTGGAATTTCGAACCCAAATTGCACTTTCGGCTCAAATCGGTCTTTTGGCTTTTCTACCCCGAATCAGAATTAAAGTGAGGTTTTGATGTTCCCTGGAGTGAATCGAGAAATTCAAATTTATTTCTTCAAACTTATCATTGTTGTTTTCTAAGCTGAACTAGAGATCCCTTTCGTTTTGGGTTGAAGGCCCAATTAGGCCTGTCTTAAAGGTCCGCACGGAATGCAGATTTTAAGCTAGTTTGTAAATAAAAACAAGTCACAGATAACTCACAGATTTCAGGATTCGATTTGAAACCGTATATATATTATGAACAGGACCCTCGTCTAGAATGATAACGAATCTATATTTTTTTCAAATTTTAATAAAATGGCTTGAAGTAAGTTGAATGAATGCTAATCTGCAAAAATCATTCCCAGCAAAAATCATCCCTATCTTTTACGAGAGGACCAGTCAAATTAATTAGTGCTAAATTTTGACTTTGTTCAGTTATAATTATTAAATCGTATATTAGATAAAAGTTAGATGTTAATGGAAAAGCGATTTTATCCTTTGAGTTTCGTGGTAAATTTACATTCAATCTAATTAGTTAATCATGTGAAGGGATCCAATTATTTATAATTAAAGTATTTATTTATAAATATTCGTTCAAGTTTTCAGTTATTTTTATTGATAATTAATAAAATGGCAATTCCTAAAATCATTATTCATTTGATTTAGGTATAATTACAGTTTATATATTGTAGCTGGGTAGTTTTTTACTAAAACATATGGATAAATAATAATTTCTGATATATATATATATATATATATATATATATATATATATATATATATATATATATATATATATATATGAAGAAATATAGTATTAAGGTGTGATATATTTATGGGATAAAGTGCTCAATATCAGAGATAGAACGTATGTAAATATAAATATAAAAGTGAACATTGAAGTTAACACTCAGAGGCAACAGGCTGTTTCATGCTAGACGCAATCGTCGTTTTATATATATATATATATATATATATATATATATATATATATATATATATATATATATATATCAACTGATTCATAGAGTCTAGAATAATACTCAATAGAATGTAGAAAGCACTGGACGAACGTTTCGTCCTATTTGGGACTCATCAACATTGCTCATCCACCGCCGAGAATCGAAACCCGGACAGTTTATCAATGGGTTGTTGGGAACATTTTTGTTGACTAGTGTTTGCTTTATGCATTTCACTTCGCATAGAAATATTTTGGGGAAAGAAGAATTTTGGCATGTTCTATTTAAAAAGTTTGTTATCACTGCTATTTTCTATCTTTCCGGGCATTAGCTATCATAGTTTAGAAGACAAGAGCTCGTACCAGTGGGTTTTTATATGCGTGAGTGGTAAATTGCTTGAATTTTAGCTGTATCTGAACGAGGAATGGGGTCATGTTATGTACTATGGTAATTTACGCTTGATTTTGTTTCAAAAGTTGTTTTTAGGCTTGCGATTTCATCGTTATTTTTCATTAAAACGAAAATGTCGTCGACATCCCTTGTGTAGTAGATTTCCGGATTATCGGTTGTTTTAAATACTTTATTTTAAATGTAGGACATGTAAACATTAGGAAAGGCTGGGTCTAAAGTGTTTCCCATGCTAACGATGGTAGTTGCCTATATGTGTTACCATTACGGACGTAGAATAGAACATTCGAGGTACAAAGCGAGTAGTAGTTTCCTGATGGTAGAAGGTCGGATTATTTTGGTATGTAGCGTCGGGTGTTTGTAGACACCGTCGCTAATTATGTTGATTGTTTCATCAACTGGGATGCTGGGAAAGAGGCTTTCAACGTCCAGCGAGGCCACGGTATCTCCTACTGGATTTGCGGCTTTCAAAATGTGAAGTAAGTCATTAATTGATGCCGTGCTGCAATTGTTGGGTGTTCTTAGGGAAATTATGTGCTTGAGGGTTTTTGATAGTTGGTACTCGGGTGTGGGTATTTGCGATATGAATATGAACAAATAAAGGATATAAACTGACAGATTGACTTGAACAGATATAGATGAACGTAAGTATATATATATATATATATATATATATATATATATATATATATATATATATATATATAATTATAGCATTATATAGATAACACAGTTATAAAAAGTTTGACGGAAGCCTAAAATAATAATAATAGGTCGAAAGAAGACATTTTGTGACATACATCGTTAAGTAGGTTCAAAGTACTTTTGCTAATAAAACACACAGTAAAACAAGAGTTCCACAAGCGAGAAGTGCGAGAAAAGAAACCGTTAGCATACAACTTACGGTTACATCTAGCTAATTCAAATGTAAATCGATTCATAAAAACTTCTTAAAAATCCTATAGCTATTATATATATATATATATATATATATATATATATATATATATATATATATGTTTGAATAAAAGACAGACCACGTTAAGATTCCATGTAATAAGCTATTTCACCATGACCCCTTTAACAGGGTTCTGGATCATCAGACTTTCCTTCCAAAACTGAAATGAAAATGAAAAAAAATTCACACGTTTTTACGGACCTCATCAAGTATACGCAAAGTTAACGAAGTGAGGAAGTGAGGTGGGAGAGAGGATATGAGTGTGTCATATGTATCATTTAGTTTCCTATTTTAACCCCAGTGTGTCGGCTGGATGTTGCTCAAATCTAACGCGTCTCGTTTCTGGATAAAGGTGGCTAAGGGGTGAACGATAAGAACTACATTAAAGGAAGACGTTACACCAACCTCAATAAATTACACGACAGGTTTCATTCAAATTCTTAGACGCTGTCAGTTCGCCTTACTTTAACGTGCATATTTGTGGGGTTAAGGTTTGATAAATATCTAAATTTTAAAACAATCTACGAAGGAATTAATTTAATTAATATATATATATTATATATTTATATATATTGTCATCCACAGACAGACTGTTTCGCTCCAGTGTGGCTAGGCGTCCGATTGCTTCAAGCCAGGATAGAAAACGACAGATTTGGTATCAGTCAGAAATTCTACCACTAGACTATCGTCGCACGGAAAAAGGAAAGGAAATTTTTACATTTTCTATGCGAAATACGTCAGTGGCCGGAAAGCTCTATTCAAGTCTGTTGAAGAGTAATATATATATATATATATATATATATATATATATATATATATATATATATATATATATATATATATATATGATGAACAGACAGTACAAAACAAATATATTGCTTTAAAAAAGAACATCAGTCATTCTTCTTTATAATTTTCCTTTAGGATTCTATCGACGAGCACTTCTTCAGAAGGAACTGTTGTCTTGACCTGGGCCGATACAGGAAGTGATATTCACTAGCACTAAATCGTTGTAAGATAAGCGAAGTTTAATTACCGAACACGACTAAAAAAATTTATTAGTAAAATAATTACCGAATAAAATATAACTTTTCCAGTGAGTATAAAAGAGAAAAGTATTACTCACACCCTCCAAATAACTTGAGTACGTTGGTGAATTGCTCTTTCTTCTTGCATAGGAACTGTTATCTGACACCTCACAAACACCATTACTTCCATCAAAGCAGTGACCCCTTGATAAAGAAAAAAACAAACCCCAGACCACACCACCATTCAAAACTATAAATGAATAAAATATTCCATACCATTGTCATTCCAAAACAATGCTTGAGGATGAAACTGCCACCCAGTGGTTAAGGTTTAATATTGGATTTAAACTTAAATACTGCTGACCAGTTTCGTAACATAGTAATTCCTGTGTCGCGATGGAATCATATTTAAAAAATAATAATTATGATATATATATATATATATATATATATATATATATATATATAATTTTCGCTATAAGAAATTGTAGCAGTACCATATATATATATATATATATATATATATATATATATATATATATATATAATGAATCTCAGATTCGAACATACTGACACTATTCTTTTATGGAATACCGTTTCTGATCACGTGGCATTTGACATGCAAGGGTCACGTGTCCTTCGAAGTGCTCTCTTCCCGCCAAACAATTATTCTTTTCAGATTACCAATCCAATTATCCTTGGGGCAATCATGAGTGATAATTTGATGGAAATTGCTAAAAACCAATATATCTTTGCAAATAAAAGTTTTGTATTGAATTATGGAAAAAGTGGAACGTGTATTTCCGGAACGGTGTTCATTTTGTTTTTCAATGATACAGTTTTAAGGATTTCTATAGAATCATAGCTTAAGACGTATATGCACACTTATTTCTATTTCCAATACCGATTAGACCCACACTTCCCCAACCTGGCACATGATATTGAAGAAATTGATGCTTATTTTTAGTAACAGCATTTTCGCTGATTGATTTAGAGCTTGTTTGTAAAAAAAATAACTTCCCTACAAAATCGGTGTACGGATCACTTAACAGAACAAGGCAATCCATCAGAAACTGTTGCAATATCAGTAATGGAAGTAACACCGATAAACATGCGAAAGGATATTAGTATGTTAGATCGTCATTAGAAAGCAATATAAAATCATATATATATATATATATATATATATATATATATATATATATATATATATATATATATATATATTTACATTTATATATATATTTATATATATATATATATATATATATATATATATATATATATATATATATATGAAGAAATATAGTAAGGTTTGCTATATTTATGGGATAAAAGTGCTCAATGATAGAGATAGGCGTGTCTAAATATAAAAGGGAACATTGAAGTCAACACTCAGAGGCGACAGGCTGTTTCATGCTAGACGTAATCGTGACCTGACGATTGCGTCTAGCATAAATCAGCCTGTCGTTTCTAAGTTTTGACTTCAATGTTCACTTTTATATATATATATATAGCAGAAATTGTGAAAAAAATTGCTTATTTAGTTTCTCCAAGTAGTCCTACTTATAAGTAATATAAAACAATTTGCAAACTCTTTCAAATTCTAGAAAATGTCATAAAATTAATTTGGGTGGGGGTAACAGATGTAAAAAAATATATTTTTCCCAAGATTTTCTAAAAATAAAAATTTCAATATTTTCAAAAATAAGTCATGAAGGTTTCATTAAAATTAGACAATTATTTGATTTTTTGCAAGAATTTCCAAATTAATGGGTTTTCCTCCGAAACTGCTACACTAAAAATGACGATGACCATAAGTCTTACAAGGCTAACAAAAAAAAAAGAGATTTTTGACCCAAATTTAAAACGTGTTAGAAAGAAGGAATTTTTTTTAAATATTTAAAAAATACTTTGTTCTTTCCTTTTAATAATAACATAAACATTTTAACGATGAAACTTTGTTTTTATTAAGTTTGGGAACTTTTATCATTATGTTATACTGATTTTTTACCGAATTATCGGAGGTACTTAGATTAATGTATAACTCTGTCAGGATCATTTGCCCAAATTTATAATACACACCACACATACACACACACACACACACACATATATATATATGTATACACACACACACACACACATATATATATATATATATATATATATATATATATATATAGTGACTCTTGATGTATATTGACTCAGAGTAAGAGATAGCGCGCACCAGGGAGAGAGGCGTAGGCGACATAGTGCAAGAAAGAAAGAGAGAGAGAGAGAGAGAGAGAGAGAGAGAGCGAGAGAAAGATTTGTATCCGGGTCCGACAATGAAACCCAAATTCGAATCTCATCATGGTCGATTTGTCAAGAAGGTGAGGATCCCAGAGAAAGATGCTGATTATCACAACAATGTATTGGATAGAATTGAACTGATCTGATGACATCAATAGCTGTACTAGCCAGATGTCACAAGTTATCGTGACCGAGTGTTTGATCGTGCTGGCATTGTTCAAACTGCAGATCATGACCGAATATGCAGTCTTTTCCAGAAACTGTAACTAAGGTCAGCTCTGTATTATTGGTTTATAAACCACAGTTGGGATCTGTTTGTGTTGAACAAGCACAATTTTTTTTTGAGCCGGCATCCTTGAGAAGTTTTTTTTTCCCCTACAGGCAGGCGCGTATTCAGAAAAAAAGTGTGTATATATATATATATATATATATATATATATATATATATATATATATATATATATATATATATATAAATACATCTATATGATATACTTCTCAATATTAAGCTTCAAAGATGTTGAAGCCAAGAGCAAGATATTATCAAGATGATTATCAGTTAATCTTGTTCTCAAATTGTTCTTAGATTGCTTCAGTTTGGAAAATAATTGCTCACACTGATAAGTGCTTCCAAACAAAGATGACATCTTTTTACATGATTCACTAAGTTGGTATACTTTACGCTTGGAAAATATATTTTGCATAGAAATCAATCAATGAAACAGCTTTAGAATTAAATTTAGATCTTAATAAGTCGTTCCGCTGCATATCAATTAATTCCATTTGCAAACATTCTAATACTGTCTCTACCTCCACATCAAATGGTAGCGAAGAGAATTTAATAGTGATTTGCATGCAGCTGAAAGTCAGCAAAATGTAATGCAAATTCATATTTCGAATCCTGGATTATATTCACAAATACCACTGAATATTGTTGTTTCCTTCCTTCCTTGATATGATGGGAAAAATGCACATAATTTTTATTACGAAGTTGATGTTCCCACAACTGTAGCTTCCTTTCAAAAGCAACAATATGGTTATACGAACTTAGTTTTACCTTGAATTCATACATTTATGTTATTTAATTGGGTCACAATATCCACAATAATTGCCAAAGTTGCAAGCCAATCAGGGTCTCGAAAATGTGAACTATTTACAAGTTTGCTTTCGTGAAATTTCGCTACTTCTTTGTGGAAGGCAAGTACTCTTTTTAGCATTGATCCTCGTGTACGCCAGCGTACATCGCAGAAATAAGCAAGGTCACCATATTCTGTCTTAGTATCTAGTTTAAATTGACGATCATTTAATCCACGAGGTAGAACCAGAATCACGGCCTTCACAACAATATCTATAAATTTCTTACATTTCAGAGACTTAGCACACAATATCTCTTGATGGATAATGTAATGAATTTTAACAAGTTTATGTGTGATTCTAAGGTTTTTCATATGTTCTTTCAGTAGTGCAACAAAGTCCTTTTTGCTTTACCGTTGCTGTGGCACCATCAGCTGTGTTGCCAATTACCTTCGAAAAATCAAACTTCATTTCTGATATAATTTTCAACAAAGGTTAAAATATGTCTGCTTCAGTGACGGTTTCTTTCATAGGAATTAATTGAATAGATTCTTCAATGATCTGAAAACCCGAAGTCACTTCTCGCACAAAGACAGCAAGTTACTTAAGTCTCATCGAACGCAATTGAAAAATATTGAAATTCACTGGAGGTGTTGGTTAACTGATTTTTAACATCTGCTAACATTTCTTCAACCCGCTGTGTGATCGTCCTCGGAGACAGGTTGATAGTTTCAAATAAAGACTTTTTTTTTCTGGACAAACAATATACAACACTGCGAGTAAGCATCCTTTAAAAACTCGCCATCTGTAAAAGGTTTTATTTTTTCAGCGATGCGTTTTGAGACTTCATAGTTGGCAGTAGCATTTGCCAAATTTTCGCCTTTTCGTTTTTTTAAAACTGATATTTGTTTTTCAAAACTAGACTTCAACTACTCAATTTCATCTTTCCTTTCTTGTCCAGTAAATATCCTAAAATTTTCACAATGCAGCGTCTCGTAATGTCGGCTAATGCTTGTTACCTTATTCACAGCAATTCTTTCTAGACATAGGCAAACTGAGTTCCCATTGTTCTCAAAGAAGAAGTAAAGTAATGTACAAATATCTTGGATAATGCGACATTCATTATTTACTTTTCTTCGTTTTGCCTTCATCGCCATCGAAATTTCTTCCTACGAATATAATTTAAATTTAATTTATAAATAGAACTATTACAGTTTTGTACAACAATAAAGAGCCGAATTGCAAGAATACAGAGCGAAATTATACAAATACATAAAGGTTAATTTTATAAATGTCTAAACAATTTAATCATATTTAAAAGGAATAATTCGATTTTATATCTGAATAATTTGATTTTTTTTTTAATGGCAGGTCTTTTATTGCATTCGAAATCCTTGTCTCTCGCATTACAATTGTTATTTTACCAGTTGATTATGGGTAATAACTTGTATATATTATGACTATATTAATATTATTATTTTTGTGTTGTGTGAGCAGAAATGATGCGTAGAGCCTTGCTTACATGACGCATTTTTGTGTTTTTTGCTGTCATAGCGTTCACATCCGGTTAGTGGTGGACATTAGGTAGGGTGAATCAGAAGATTTTTGGAAGCATTTAACAGCAGGTCTTTTATTATATTTGAAAGCTTCGTCACTCCTATTAGAATAAATTTAAATTTTAAATAAACACCAAGGTCGACAAAAATATTCATAGAGAAATCCGTGCACCTCTGCTGGCCGGAAAATCCCAATTTTCTATGTTCACCCGCAGGCACTGATACACAAGACCCTACTCAGTTCGACTCAAGTCAAACTTTAAAATAAAATAAAAAAATATGTAAGTCTAGTTAAAGTCGGTTCATGACTCGATTCCAGTCGACTCGCGACCCAGTTACTATAACTTTATTTACAATATTTTAAGAATGAAATGACAACAAAAACATTATTAGGTTGGTGCAAAAATAATGACGTAACAATGTCGTTTTTTGACGTTAAAAATACATCAAAAACGACATTATTACGTCATTATTTTTGCACCAACCTAATAATTGCAAAAGAACTATATGATCAAAAAAATTAGAATTGAACCTATTTTTTTTCTTCTGTTCTCTTTGGTTTTATGTTATTCCTGCGCATACCGAAGCTCAAAATAATCGGACTGAATGCGTTTTCAGACAAACTACTGGTCAGAGATGGAAGATGGAATTCTCAAGTAAACTTTGGTGTCAGATAGAACTGGTTCGTAAAACTCCAACTTCTGGTTATGATTTTCCTCGACTTGTAAGTCTAATGAGTTGAATCGAGTCATTGAACATCAGTTCTTGTGAGCCGGTCAAAATCCGGATCCGGTCCACGGGTCGTAGATTGCCGTCCCTTGATTAAAGCATGAAAGGCAGAAATGTGTGGCAAGCCATGATCGCATATGTTGCACATAACGAAGAAATTAATTACAATGAAAGAAGTGTAACCGATAATCACGATAAGCAACTCAATGATTTGTTTGAATATTCGAGGTCGATTTATTATTAAGACGACAATTAACAATCATTTTTTTCACCTCGAAATAAAAACTATAAATTAATCCAGGAATATTCACTTTGGGTTGATTCTGAAGACTTGAGGGCGTGGAATAGTGTATTCCATTCCTTCTGCCTTCATTACGACGCATAGGTCAACATTGGCGAACTATCTGCAAAAGCCCTCGAAAGAAAAAAAAGTCCTACTTAGCTTATTAGTCTAAGTGTTTCGGGGAAATACATTTTTCACCGACGCAAATATAAAACGGATAGTCTTTATATTGAGGTATTATTCAATAAGATATAAACTTTCATTCGTTTACTGGTATATCGATCCTCTTTCTTCCCCATAGCCTTCAACATTCGCAACATGATATATATATATATATATATATATATATATATACATATATAAGTGCGTGTGAATGCTTTTGTGTGTGTGTTTTTTTCATATTAAAGCGATAGAAAATTCGAAATTCTCATAAATCTTTTTCTAAATATTACATGTACTTTTTTAAGCTTTAATGAATACAAATGCTAACATATATATATATACATACATATATCTGTGTATATATATATATATATATATATATATATATATATATATATAACATTTTCGCTTTCGTTAGGTATTTAGGTAGGTGTCTAAGTCAGAATGAAACACAAATCTGTGTGTGTGTGTTTGTGTCTATTTATCTTGTATTTAATAAAAGTTTTGTGGAGAGTACATTCACACATCGGGAAACATTAGTTAAACGTTTTTGTTAAGTACAAGTGTTTTCTTAGACACAAGCTAAAAGTATAGCCAAAAACACTAGGAAATGAAGTTTTTACACACTTTGTGTTAAAAGAAACACTTATAGAAACACAAGAAAAATAAAATAAAAAGCTTGATCGCAGTACTTTGTCAATCGTATTTAACAAAATATGTAAAAGAGAAGAATTGTGAACTAAACACACACAAACACACGCATATATATATATATATATATATATATGTGTGTGTGTGTGTGTGTGTGTGTGTGTGTGTGTGTCTGTGCAACTATACAAAATAATAAGGAAAGAACACGTTAGGTAAATAATCCGAAGTTCTTTAGTATTTTCTTTTTTTTTTTTAAAAACAGTGCTCAAGACAAAAATAGAGACTAAATCTTAATTATGTTTTTTTTAAATATTTTTTATATTATTTTTATAATTATTTTTGTGTACTTTTTTATAATTATATTTTGTAATTTTTATAACTATAAAAATTTTCATAATTATAATAGTTTTTTATAGTATTTTATAATTATAATAATTTTTTATAATTTTTATAACTTTTTATAATTATTTTTTATAATTATTTATTATTATCATTATATATATATATATATATATATATATATATATATATATATATATATATGTATGTATATGTTGAGTGTAACAGCAAAAATTGTTCATATCTTGTAACAGCATAATTATCCATT